AAACTCTCTACCAATATGAACAAAAAATTTGATTCAACAAAAGTAAAGGTTCAAAATATCATAAAAGCTAATCAAAGTAAATTGACACTCACCTTAAATACTTTGAAAGCATATACAAATCAACATTTTCTCAGTATTGTAATTCACTGGATCAATAAAGAATGGAAGTCAAAAAACCTTCTTCTTGACTTCGACTTGTTTCCTTGAATGATGCCTATACCAGAATATATCTCAAAAGAAAAGTTTTTAGACTTGTCAAAGAAATGAAAATAGAAGAACAAATAATTGAAGTTACTAGTAATAATACTATAAACAATCAGTATGTATTGATTACCTTAAAAAAGAGATAAATCCTGATCTTGAATATGTAAATTGTGCTGTGCATGTGATCAATCTCATGGCTGAAGCAGGTCAAAAGAAATATTTTTGTCAAATTCAAAAAGTTCATCAATTTATTACTAAAGTAAAAATATTATTATTGGTCTTAGAAGAAATAAAAAAATGTACTATTGGTATAGACCATTTAACTCTCCATGTTAAAACTAATGATAACAATGTAAAGTGGAATTCTACAGGGTGGAATTCTACTTATTTGATGCTTGAACAGTTTAGTCAAATCCAAGAATTTATTAATATTATTATACAACTATATCCAAATATAAAAAAATATTTTTTAGAAAATAATGACCTGGTAATTATCGAAGAGATGGTGCAGCTTTTTGAGCCATTTCATGAAGTGGCTTTGATCCTTTCAAATACTTCACAACTCTCTCATAGTTCTTTATGATTAATAATCCTAGGCCTCTTAGTGCATCTTAATAATTATCTTTTTGTTGGTGGTGTACACTATAAAGCAGCCTAAGAGATGAAAGTCAAGCTAGAGGAATATTGGGTTTATCTTTCAAAAGCTTCTAAAATCCCAACTCTGGTAGATCCATCAACCAAATTCAAAACATTTCTATAACTGATCATCAATTAGCAATTAATAAATTAAATGACCTTTATTTGTTATATGTGGATAACTCTGAAGAAAACATTAAAGTAAAAAACATTAAGGTTAAAAATCGGTTAGAAATGTTTTGTAAACTTGTACAAATAAATAAAATCAAAGAAATAGATGAGTTGGAAGCCTATCTTTCACTATACCACAAGCCAGAAACAGATCCATTGCTGTGGTGGAAGAGCCATACCTTCTCTTTTCCAACCTTAGCAGGCATTGCAGCAGACTATTTGACCTTGCAAACAACTTGTGCTTCTTGCAAGCATGTTTCTTCTACTGCAAAATATACTAATGATCATATTCGGAATAGTACTTCTAAAAAAATGGCTAAGGCTTTGTTCTGCTTAAAAAATTGGTTCGAAGCAGAAATAATTGAAAAATAGTTGAATAGAAATAGATTAAAAATAGATCTTTTTCTTTTAAATAAAGTTTATCGTTATCTTTTTTGTACAACATAAAGTGTCATATGATTTTTTTGTAAACTAAACTTCAAACTACAGATTGAAGACATTTATATTAGTAAAATAAAATTCTAGCGTTGTCACATTATAAAGACACCTTTCATTAAGTATCTTGTCTTTATAGAATTAAAAAATATTAAATCTTACGGAAGGAATTAAGAGCGAAGTAAAGACAATTTTCATAGTAATTTAATATAGCGTGAGACTATTAAATTTTACTATATAAAATCTTAATTAGTGATCAACACTATATCATCTGCACTATGTTTGTAATTAGACCGATGATAGACATCCCAGTACTCTACACATGCAGGCTCGCATAATAACATGAATCAAAATTTTCTCCGTATATAATCTTCACCAAGTTAGGTGTATTAATAAAGTTAGGCATGGGAGGTACGTACATATAATTTCCAACCTAAATTTTCTTATATTACATCGTGTCAATATATTTAATAATTTTTTATCTTATTATTTTGATTATTTAAAATTAATGCCAAGCGCGGATGCACAAAAAACATTCTTGAATGTCGCAAAAAAAATAAGTAATCTAAACGTCAATCAAGCATAAATTCTTTTTGATCACATGTGCTATAAAGATAATTTCTGAAGGCCCAATTTGTTATACAAATGTTCTATAATTTAAATACATGGTTTTTTCTTGGCGACAATCATTCAATCCTACTTTTTTTTTTTTCACAATATTGTCTAGATTAATTTGGCACGAAAACGCCATAAGCTCAACCCTAAATCTTTACACTATTTTAATAATCAGATTATTTAGGTTTAGGCTCACAAAGCCCTAAATTTTAAAATCTAAGTAGATAATCTACATTGTTCTGATTATTAAAAATTGCCGAACCATTATAATCTTAATCTTGCATTCCGACCGTTGCGCAGGTAAAGTGTAAAATGCGATGTTTGAAGATTTTTGTAATCGAAGATTCAATACTTATATTTCCTTTAAAATTTCCATATTTGTATTTTAACTTTTTATTTCAGAATGTCTAGCAAAAAAAAAACAGGTTGAAAGAGTAGTGATGAAAAATTAGTTTTATTCTTTGAAAGAAATAGGAAGAAGAATAATAAGTCCTATGGCGTCATTTCGCTCTCGGCCTTGAATATAATAGCTATTAAAAATCGATATTTCACGTTTTATTGAGTTAGATATAGATTAAAATAATATTATTTAAAGCCTTGCTTGCCGTCGCATTTAACAATCAAAACTTGCACTTATTCTTTTGAACAATAGTAACACTAGTAGAAATATTTTTATGTGTCCATATATCCATAGTATCGAATATTTAGAATTGCGAATCCGAAATCATGAAAGTCAAGATAACGATGATGTTTACATCTTTAGTAAACTTGTGCATCTATAGTTATAAATATTTATTTTACCTGGAAAGCACGTGGACGCATTAACATATTGAATGACTGACAAAGGCCTAAGAAACAGAAAGAAATTGAGAAAATGAATACACAAATGCCCAACATCATTTAGTACTTGATCACAATAAAATGGTGCTGCATTTTAAAGACGTAGTACTGTATATATGGGTGACATCAAGAAAAAGTCGGTAAATCATGTTCTTTGATTTTTTTTTATTTCAATAAAATAATCTTTCTCTCTTGGCATTACATATATATTACCGTTTATTTGTAATGCAGTTATTTATGTATGCACGCATATACGTAAGCACGTACATACGCACGTACGTACGTACGTACGTGTGTTAATTCATTAAATACAAATATAATATCAATAAATTTAAAATTTCCTAAATAGTAGTAACAAGGTAACAATAATATAAGTATGTGTTACAAACAGATATATTACCTTCCAAATTTGGAAATTAAAATTTATAACTGGTACTCACGTCAACGTACAGCCGTTTTTAGAACAACGTTACCCTAATATGCGTTGTAACTAAAATGAATGCGCATGAACGAAAGCTTTGTGATTTATATAATAAAAAATTAATATTCAAAATAATTTTTAATATCATTATTGATGATATTGATTGTATTGTGACGCTATCTTTATGATAAACGTATTCTACCAGAATGTGCAATGTTGCTTCCGTCGGAATTTCGTTTTGGATTTACGGAAAATTTATATCAGAAAATAAGTATATAAAGACATTGTTCACCTAGAAGTTTTTTTCCTCATATCAGAAAATTTCTGATATTGACGTATGCCGCTAATGATGCACTTAGTAGAAATGTTTAGCCTTTTAATCGCTTTTTTGGCCGTCTTAATAGTCTCCTCGGAAGCTAACCCCGATAATTTCAAAAGGGGTGGTGAATCGACATCAAAAAATTGTCCTTCAGCATTACTTACAGCAACCCATAATAAGACTATTAAAGGACAATTAACTTTTTTTCAAGATTCGACAGGCGAAGTATGGCTTACCGGCACTTACCAATGGGGTTTTCAGGATCCAAGTGAATGGGATTATACTTGGACACTTCAAAATGGCTGTCAAGAAGTCGTTTTTGATATAACCGAAGCTCTCAGCACAGAATTTGCTAAAGATAGTGGCTGCGATGGCTATACCCCCGAAACTCCTCCACCAGAAACAACGAGTAGTCATATTACTAGTACTGTGTGCACAACGAGTAGTTATAGTACTAGCACTCCGTGTACAACGACTACTTATAGTAGTTCAGATGATAAAAAAAGTAATAAGAAGAGTAGTAGTTATAGAAGAAGAAATCGTATTGGTAGAAGAGATGATATATGTTTAATTGGGCCGTGGGGTACAAAGCCGTGGGTTGTCAAGGTTAGCAATTTAACTTGGAATTGTGGAAATGGTGATGGTTTTATGTTCAAAACTTGCGATAAAGATCTCTATAAAGACACTCTGTTAGGTTCTAGTGACGTTCCTGATCGACTTATAAACCAAGGTCCAGCAAGTGGTCTATATCTTGTAATAACTGGTAACGATAAATCAGGAAAGCGAACGACTACTACAGATGCTGCTCCGATTAATGTTAATGATAATGGTGGTACTGTTGCTCCAGCAGCTCCAGCAGCAGCTCCGGCAGCAGCTCCAGCAGCAGCTCCGGCGGCAGCTCCAGCAGCAGCTCCGGCGGCAGCTCCAGCGCCAGCAGCTGCACCACCAGCTGCACCTGCACCTGCTGCACCTGCTCCAGCCGCACCTGCTCCAGCACCAGCTGCTGCTCCACCAGCTGCTCCACCAGCTGCCCCACCAGCTGCCCCACCAGCTGTCCCAACAGCTGCTCCATCAGCTGCATCAAATGTTACAAATACAACAACAATCCTGACTACAACAGCAACCCTGACATCTACAATAACAGCCCTGACAGATACAACAACAATAGCCCCCCCTCCAGCAGCTCCGACGGCATAGAATAAAATGGTTATCTTTTCCCAGTTCCCTATTTTGTGCAAAGTTAGCTAGGAATAATATTCATTATAGCTATTAATATGTTCGTATTAATTATAATTTAGATGTTTGAAAGTGATATTATACATATTTCGAGCAAACACATATTCAAAAACAATTAGAAACAATTGTTAGTCTTTGTTTAACATACAACACAGTGACGTAATTATTTTAATACTTAGATTAGTGTTAATATTAACGTCAGTAAAATCCGTATACTTATACTTTAAATAATGTAATGATTATGTACTGTACTTATGATAATATGATATTAAAGTCATAATAAACACTTTGTTTAACGTTGTATTTTGTAAAATCTCTTAATGTATCTTATTGTATTGGCACTATTCAGACTTGTTAGAAATTACATGTTCTTATGAAATCTTTTTTTTTTTAAAGAATATATACAGTTCATCCTGTCAAAACTGATAATCTCCAATAACCGATAAAAAATTGGTCCATCATGATCCAAATCTGATAACCTGCCATTTCTGATAACTGATATTCAACAATATATCTATTAGTTGCTATAATCTGATAAATCCGATATTTTGATCTAGTCAATTAAATTAATTTTGTATAGTAAGATTGGATATTACTTAGCCAATCATATTGAACCACAATCATGTGACTAGTAGATTCATTAAAACGCATTAATTTTTTAAAGATGATAACTTCTCAAATCTGATTTGAAATCCGTCCACATGCATACTGGGCTTGACAGGGTAGACTGTATTCTTATATTACTTTGAAAATAACAAAATATAAAAAGTTTTCATGCTAACACTATTTGAAATCTTTAATATTCATAATAGTAAAGAATAAAAAAATATATAAAACTATATATACACTGGCGATCATAAGTAGTGCAACAAAAAAAAAATTTATTTAAATCATATTATCTTATGCAATTCTGGGCATATTGGTTAGTTTTTTATTTTATTTTATTCACTAATAACAACATTTTCATTAATAAAAAAATTAAAAAAAATTAATGAACAAAATTTTCATGGGCATAAGCTTTATTTCAAATTCTGTGTTGCATTACTTTTGCTCATTTTTACAGCAACATAACTGTAAAGTTTTTATATAAAAAAAAATTTTTTTCTATTTAAAATTTTTTCATCTTCATTATTAGTTATAACTACTATAAGCTCTAATTACAGCATGAATTCATTCTGGTATTGAATGAATTAGCCTTCTGCAGGTTTTAACAACAATCATCTGCCAGACTACCTAGATCTTTTTTCAAAAATTTATCTTATTTAAAATTTGTCTAGGAAGATCTTTCAACTGATAATTAACTTTATTCTACAAGTTTTTAATCAGGTTAAGGCTAGGAATTAGGGCCAATCAAAAAGCTTTATCTTATTCTTCTTAAGCCAATGTTTTGTCAAAGTTACTATATAACAAGATGTTTCATTTTGTTGAAAAGTAACCTCTCTAATATCAAATTTTTGTTCTCTAATTATTTATATCAGATTTTTATAAAGTATTTATCAATACAAGTTACTATTCATTATGCTATTGACCTTATAATAGCTACCAATACTATAGAAGCTAAAGCACCCTAAATCATAATCGAACCACCTTTATATTTGGCAGCAAGCTTTATATAAAACTGGTTTAATAGTTTTCTATAATGCTTCCAATAGTACTAGTACTGCTTACTATTTGACTCAAAAATTTAAATATTAATTTGTTGAATCAGATTACTTTAGACTAATTATTAATGATTCAATTTTTATATTTTTTTTATGAAAGCAAGTTGTGCTTTTTGATAATTGTTGCTTAGATAGAGTTTTTTTTTAACTCAATACTAAATTATGGTTTTGAAATATATAACAAATAGTAGATATCAAAATTTCTATATTTATATTTTTTGCAAGGTAAGCTCTTACTTCAATAGTAATAAAAGATAATAAAATTTATTATTCTTTTTTGAGTTGGTTTACCTAACTTTATTAGATAACCAATTCTTGCTAAATTTTTAAATGAGTAGTTTGTTGATTATTTTTTTTAATTCACAAAACTATAGAAAAACAAATATTATCCCTTAAACTGTAGACAATTCCAGGCAAATTTGTCTGGAAAATTGTTATAAATTTGTTTATGATTTACTTATTTTAAAATTTAAAATATTTAATTAAATTTTTTTTTGATAATATTTGAAAATAAGGATTATATTATAGTAGTATTTAATTTTATATTATAAGAATAAAAG